CCAACCTAAATGACTCTAAGATTCTACGAAAATAAAAAATAAAATGAGATAAAAATAAAATTAAAATAAATTAAAATAAAGTTAAAGAAAAAAATAAAACAAAACTTTGAGGGTCATGGAAAATTATTTCTAGTTGAGTTGAAATAGCCCCTAAACTGGAGTTTTAGATAAGTCTCATCGTCTTCCCAAGCCCTCCTTCCCCAGCTCACCCCTTGCTCCTCCAGCGTCGCTCCCTTGGAGCATCTGCATCTTGTTAGCTATAAAGAGCATCCTGCTAGAGCAGCACTGACCTCCCCCCCCCCCCCCAAAAAAAAAAGCCCTTTTTGGCCTCTTAAAAAAAAAAAAAAAAAAATAAATAATACGCCAGAAGCTCGCAAATATTTAACAAACGCTATTTTAAATGGAGATGTGGACTAACACGAGTTTATTTTCCCTTTCAGAAGAGGGAAGGCCAGAAAAATAAGATGCAATCAGGCAGGAGGGAAGAGCCGAGGCCAAATTCTCATCTTATTTATACAGCTGCAAATCACAGCTGGGCAAAGACGACCTCATCCCGCCGGGACCGTGGCTCCATCCCACCCCAGAGGGGTTGCTCTTCCCCCAGAGATTACCTGGAGCATCATCTCGGTTCTTGCAAGGCTGGAAGCAGGGAAAAAATCAGGTCTAAATTTAATCGAGGATTAATTCCCATCCCTCAGGATTATTATTTTGAGTCAGCATCTTAATGATCCAACTAATGACACCAGGAAGTAATTTTTTTTTTTTTTTTGCTAATTAGATGGCATTTGTTAAAACCTTCTTTGGTGGCGGTGAAAATTATTTGGGAATCGAGTTAGTCAACGGCATGTGGGATACCAAATTCAACCAGGAGTTGTCTGGATCCAACAAATTATCCTGCTAACACCCCAAAAAAAGCATTTTTACACATCCTGGAGTAAAATAAAGCTGCAGAATAATCAGCGATGGGATGCTGAGATGTGTCAGGGGTACTGGTGACCTACAAAAAAGAAGATATTGGTGCTCAGTCCTGCTTCCCCACCAGGGTCAGGGATGCCAAATCTCCCCCACTTCATCCCTAATCGTGGCAAAAGTTTCCTGTCGACTTCAGGAAATGCAGCTTGTTGTTCAAATTTGGTATTTCTACAAGGAAAAAAGAAAGACGTGGAAGAAGAGGTTTTATCTGGAGATAGGGAAAAGGGAGCTCAGTGTCATAAAACTCTCACTTTAGTATTTTAAATTAATATTGCCCATTACAGCAAGGGTTTAAAATACTCATCTTTTTATACCTGCCCGATTTTGTGCCACACTTGCAATGGGCATCCCCACCCATCGACTCTCAGCTGCCCCATCCCATTGCTGGGACTAATTTGACTAATTATTTTTAAGCCAGAGCAACTCCCAGGAGAATAAATTAGGCAAAACTGGGGGTGGCCCAGGACCCCAGGTTATTTGTCTCCACGTTCTCAGAAAATATCCCCAAGTGTCTATCATGCACCTCGAACCCCACGGCGCGGTGGCAGCAGGGTGTGGATGGTACCCAGAGGCAGAGTCCAGCCCCGCATCCCGCGGGAGGAGGATGCACGGGGGAAGGATGCTCTTCCCAGCTGGACCATGCCACTATTTAAGTTTCCCGAGATGAAAAAAAACCCCACCTATTATCGCTTGAGACTTATGGATGATGTTGATCGACCCCCCAAAAAACAATGAAGTAATTCCAAAGTTCACTGGAAAAGCAAAAATCACCCAAAATCCAAAGCTGCCGCTTAGGAGGGACACATTTTATCTTTGAATTGGGGAAAAAAGGTTATTCCCCGATGCTCCGGTTGAATAAAACCCTCCCCTCCCAACACAACTTTCTGCATTTTCTTAAACAAAAATATATTTCCTTAAAGAAAATGAGATTTCCTTTAAGAAAAAGGGGGGTTCCTTAAAAAAAGGAGATTTTCTTTTTAAAAAAAAAAGATTTCCTTTAAAAAAGAAGTCCGTAAAAGAAAGATTTCCTTAAAAAAAGGCACTTTCCTTAAAAAAAAAAGGAAAATTTCCTTAAAAAAATTAAAATTTCCTTTAAAAAAAGGCAATATCCTTTGAAAAAGGGAGATTTCCTTAAAAAAATATTTCTTTTAAAAAAGGGAAGACTTTCTTTAAAAAAAGACTTCCTTTAAAAAAAAAAGACAATTTCCTTAAAAAAGGTTATTTCCTTAAAAAAAAAGGAGATTTCCTTTACCCACCCCATCTCCCCTAGAAATGATGGAGGGAGAATGGAAAATGTTCCTGCAAGCCCTGCAGGGATGCTAAGCACAACTTTTTTCCCCCACACCATGATATCAGGGGGGTGTTTAATGTTATATATATATATATATAGATCTATAACATGCTATATCTATAATGTTATAGATACAGCATGTTAAAATTAATAAGGTTATGGGACACCCCCAATGCTGGTTTTGGGGAGCCAGGGCTGCAAACTGCCTTTTAAGGCAACTTTGGGATGATGGGGAACACTGAATCTCCTTCCTGATGCCACCAACTCCCCTATTAACCTCTCCTGTAATTAGCCGCAAGCAATTAACTTTTGCCCCTAATGAAGGAATTTCAGCACGGGGAGTTAAATAAAATAGGAGGGAGGGGAAAAAAAAAAATAAGGGGGAATCCCAGTCCCAAATATATCTACTCTGCATGGCTTAACCCCCCCCAAAAGGTGTTAAATTTTAACCCAAATCACCCAAAATCCAATTAATTCACCCAAATCCCTCTCCTCGTCTACATGGGGCTGAAAACAGCCCCTGAAACATCAGACCCCAAAGGCTTTGGGGTGCCTTTTTTTTTTTTTTTTTTTTTCAGGGAGCACCCCCTTTTCCGCAACGGGAAGATGCCAAATACGCCAAGTCAGCACTTTTGGAGGCGAGACGCCCAAAAGTTTCGCCGAAGCCAGGTCTGCCAAGCCACGCACCAGTTTTTCCCCCACTCCCAAAACCCTTTAGGATTTAAAGGTAAAATAAGTCTAAAAAAAAAACCCAAATTAAGCCATTTCCCCTCCTATTTTCTGCTTCTCCCCGGCAGACAGCTGCCCCCGCATCCCGTCCAAAAATAATCCATCCCCCCCCCTCCTTTCCCTTAATCTAATCTCCCCGGCTGGGAGTTTGAAAATATCCTGCTGGGTTTAGGGTTTCCCGTTACCCGGCGAGCAGGAAGATAGTGGGGAAAAAAGATCCTTGTAAGCGAGAAAAACTGGGAAGAGCCCAAACAAAGAGCCGGAGCCAAAGCCCAAGTTGAGCTTCGATGCCCGGCGAGGACCGGGATGAAGGGGGGGGGGGGGGGGGGAGACACTGATCCCTCGGTAAAACTTCCCGAGCTGTGCGATGCCACCGGCAGAGCCGCCCTCCTGCAGATGCAAACGCACTAAAAAATTCACAAATACATTCAAAATAATAATTATTAATTTAAAAAAAAAAAAAAAGCGCTCCCCCCCCCCCTTTGCAACGCTGTAAAGCTGCTAAAATTGATTTTTTTTTTTTTTTTTTTAGCACTTATCCAACCCTGCAGGCATATGAGGGATGAGCCGGCAGGGGGTTGTCCCATGGAACCATGGTGGGGGAAGTGGGGTGCACTGAGAGAATGGGGTGCACCAAGGAAAAAGGGGGTGCACGGAGGGGTTTATCCCCGGGAGAAGCGGCGGGCTGCGGCACGCTGGCGTGGGCCGCGTTTTGGTGCTGGTGTCGAGCCCGCGTGGGGCCCTGCAAGGCAGCACGGTGCCCCCCCCCCCCCCAAAGTGGGTGCCCTGTGGGTGCTGGGGGTCCACCCTAAGGTAAAAGGGTGCCTTGCAAAGCTGGGGGGGGGGCTGCAGACAAAGCATCCCCCCTCCAGCCCGTTGCACCCTCCCAGCCCCGTTTGCACAGGGGGGGGCAACTTTCCAGCTGCAAAACGCAATGAGCCGGAGGGGGGCTGCAAACACCGGGGCGGGGGGGTGGGCACTGGAACGGGTTGTGGGGGGGCTGCAACTGGTTGAGGGGCTTGCAACCCCTCGGGGGGGGGGCTGCAATCGGCTGGTGGGGGCTGCTGCAAACACACCCCCCCCCAAAGGGCACTGCAACCGCCTCGGGGGGGGGGGGGGGGGGGGGGGGTGTGCTGCAAACAGCCGGTGGGGGTTGCAACCGGTTGGAGGGGTTGCAACTGGTTGGAGGTCTGCAGAGGGTATTGCAACTGGGGGGGGGGGTTGCAAGCCCCCCGGGAGACATTTCAACCGGTCGGTGGGAGTGGGGAGGGGGGGAAGGGTCTGCAGCAAGTCCGAGGGCATTGCAACTAGCCTGGGGGGGGGGGGGGGGGGGGGGCTGCATCCCCCGGGGGGTGGTTGCAACCGGCCAGGGGGTCTGCAGGGGGTATCGCAACCGGGCCGGGGTGGGAGGGGGCATCGCAACCGGCGGGGGTTGGGGGGGGGGGGGGGGCAGCCAGTCCGAGGGCACTGCAACCGGCCGGGGGGGAGAGGGGGTTGGTCTGCAACCCCCCTGGATCACTGCGACACCCCCCCCCCCCCCCTTCCCAAATCATCGCAACTGGCAGGGGGTGGGGGGTACTGCGACCCCCCCCCCTCCCCAAATCATCGCAACCGGCCGGGGGGCTCACCGCAGAGAACCGCAACGGCGGGGGCAAACCGCAGCCCGGGGCGGGTTGGGGAAAGGGGGAACCGGACACCGGGGGGGGGGGGGGGACACACCCCCCCACACACACACACACACACCCCCCCACGCTGCAACCGCGGCCCGCGCTACCCCCAGCCCCGCACCGGGGGGGGGGGGGGGGGGCGATGCGCAACGACAAGTTACTTCCCGCACCGGAGGGGATGGAAAGCAAAGGGGGGGGGAGTGTGATAGGGAGGGGGGGGGGGGGGGGGGGATGTCCCCGCCGCCACACGTGCCCCGCCGCCCGGGCCGCTTTGTCCGCGGCGCTCGGCGCGGCTCCGCCCGCCCCCGCGCGGCGGCCCCGCCGGTGAGTGACAGCCCTACCTGCCCGCCAATCTTCATCACACCGACACCCGGCTCCTCTGACAGCGCGGCCGCCGCTCCGCCGCCCGGCCCCTCCGCCGCCCGGCCCCTCCGCCGCCGCCGCCGCCGCCGCCGCCGCCGCCGCCGCGACACGCCCCGCCGCCGCGCAAGCCACGCCCCCCGCCCCGCCGCCTGCGGCACGCCCCCCCCCCCGCCCGCCGACACGCCCCTTCCCCTCAGGCCACGCCCCCCCATCACCCGAGCGCCCCCTGCTGGCCGACTCTCCCCCACCCCACCCCTCCCAAATATTTCCCCCCTCACTCAGACCCCCCCCCCCCCCCCCCCCCCCACACACACACACTCCAACCCCATCAGGGTCACCAACCACCCACCCGAAGAGGGGGACTGGGGGCGACTCACCAAATCCCCAGCACGACCTTCCCATTTAGGGCATCCCCCCCCCCCAAAATTCCCTCCCGCGAATGTTTCCCCCCCCCCCCCCAACCCCAGGCGCTTCCTGTGGGATTATCCCCCCTCCTCGAGGCAAAACTCTCTGATTTTTGGGAGCACCTCCTAATTATTATTAAGGGGGGGGAGGGGGATTACTGACAGAGCTGCCCCCCCTGCCCGAATTTTGGGCTGCATGAGACATTAAACCCCTTGCCTCCCCGCAAGGACCTGAAGATGAGGTTTCCCTGCAGTCGCGAGCACTGGGAACACTGGGTTCCTGCAGCCAAATCTTCCCACATTTTATTGAGTAAGCCACACAGCTGGATTTTACCGGATCATCCCAGCCATGGTTCAGTTTCTCCTCATTTTCTATCCCCTTCACCGATAAAAAGTGCCATCAAAACCGGGTTTGGTAAGAAACACTGAATTTCTGCCCATTTCCTAAGGAATATTGGATGGGATATCATTCAAAAGAGCCCCGGAATTATTTCGGGAGGGGTTAAAATTGACTATGAAGAGTTACAGCAGGACGTACGAGCCAGAGGCAATAAATGATGTGTAAGGGATGGCCATAGGGTCAGTGATGTGATGGGAAAGGTGGAAAATGAGCTTAAATTTAAGGCAAGGAACCCAGAAGACAGTAATTTTCCCTCCTGAGTTCCCCAGGGTGAAGCGACCACTTGCAAACTCTCATTTCTAAAATCCTGCTTCCAGCTTATCCCCCCCAAAAAAAAACCCTGGAAAATATTTGCTCCAATGTTTCCACCTCCTACTTCAGAGCAGCCTCTAAAATACGGTGGCCGCCTTTGGATTGGTCATTGGAGAGCAACCAAAAATCAGTGGTTCATCCTTGGGCTCCATCGATAAAATAGAGATAAAATAGAGACGCAGCAAGTGGTTGGGATGCATCCCCCCCACCCCAAAAAAAAAAAAAAAAAAAAAAGGAATCACTACATCATGTCACTGGGCCAACCAGTGGAAGCTCAGAGCTTCGCCCCGATCCTTTGGAGAGGTTGGGGCAAAGATTTATAGGAATTTCTTGCCTCATAAATCAGCCAACGGGACGGTTTGCCCCCCCCTCATTACTATTCCATGGGAGCGAGCAAAGATGAGGAGTCATAAAGCTGTCGCCAGTTGTTTCTGGGGATGCCGAGCCAAAATATTTCGTGTTTTGAAGAAGCTGGAGAATTTGAATAGGAGAGGTAAGGGGAGGCGGATGGAAACCTCCTCACCTTGGTATTACAGGATAATCCGTGCTCGGCATCTCATTTTGAAAAACAGAAATGAAAAGAGGGCAGGCACAGGCAGGGTGGGTCTTAAGCCCCATCATCGCCGAAAATATCAGAGTGCCCAATAATTTAGGGTTGTCCTGATGCAGGGCTGCTTCTTCTGGTGCCAGCAGCAGCGGGCATCCCATGTTTGCTCCTCGGGCATCTCAAGTTTGCTCCTTGAGCATCCCATGTTCGCTCGTTAAGCATCCCACAATTGATCCTCAAGTATTCCTCTTCCCCAATTTCTGTTCCCGATCGCCAAAGCAATTTCTCTGCTGGTTTCGGAACCTTGTGCTCATCTTCCAGGAAAAGTAGCCAGGCCTGTGTTTTTCCTCCACAAATGCAAAATCAGGCTCTTCCCTGGAGAGTTTTTTCCAGAGGTTAATTATCATCCCTGGCGCCTGGTTTCCCAGTTGAATTGGCTCCGCTTCAACATCTAGCCATGGGGTCTTGCTGGTTTTTTTCGACAGTAAATTAAAAGTCTCCTGCACTCAGCCTTGGGTTTTGGTTTGGTTTTTTTTTTTTTCCCCAGAAAAGTATCTTTCTACTGTAACAGGTCACCTCTGGATGGTCTTTTTTCCATCGGCTCTCATCCCACCATCCCTGAGCCCCTAGATCTGCAGGACCTGGGATGTTGAGCAGCATCCCTGACAGGATGCAGAGCCTGGCTCCCACGGGGGGCCCAGCAGGTACCAACCTGCTTCTCCCCACCCTGGACCACCCTCCAGTGACTGCAGCCCGGGGATGCAGGTGGTACCCAGCTGGAAGAGACATCCAAACCCCCAAAACCACAAAACCCTTGATCAAACACCCTTACCCCAAGCTGCAGCACGAACTGCTGGAAACCCCTGAAATTAAACCCCCCTTCACCTGAGAGTCCCCCAAATTTTGTGGGTTGTGCTGTTTACCTGCCCCAAAGCTGGGGCGCTGGCATCTCAGAGGGATGGTTTTCTGCACACTCAAAGTCAGTGTCGTAAATATATAATTACCACAAACTAATCTGCTCTAATTCAAGAGTATGTGGACGGTTCCTTCTCAAAAGTGACGAGCTTTCAGAGAGAGTTTGCTAAAATATTAAACATTTGGCAAGAGTGGCGACATATATAACCAGCAATATTTACATTTTTACATAACGGGCTTCAAGAGAAAACAAATTACACAAAATATAGTGGTTTAGTCTCCATCGTTTGACTGCTCCTCCATAAATAATTCAATTCTCTTTCCAAGATTGCATTATTGCTTGTGTCGGATTTCTCTAAGAAAACTGTGACGGGATACTCTGAAAAATACATAAGAGCGAAGCCAAGTAAATTATTAAATGATAGATGTTAAAAACAAGACGGGGTTTTATGATGCAGCCACAATTGGGGCTGGGCTCCTGTGGCTGAGCTTTGTACCTGAGCCTGGCTTAAGCACTGTGACAGGTTAAAGGAGTAAGAATTACCCCAAATTGCACACTCACTCCCTGGGAGGCTGTCTTGCCCCCTCAGGAGTTAAAGGATGCTAAAAAGGGATCCTTACAGAAAACTTAGGACTTGTTTCAGATCAGATGCTACTCCAAGCTGTCCTAGCTCAGACGTTGGTTGTACCCACCAGCCCTTCATCCCTCCAGCACGGGCACCATGCTGCAATCGGGGGATGATTCTTAATACAAATCACCCAGTAAAATTTGTGTCGGATTTTTAGAAGACATTTAGGATACAGATATTTTCCCACATCTTTCAAAACACTCTCCAGTTACAAGTTATGAGTTTCAAGAAGAGAGGAAAAATATCAGTGTCATCCAACACAGCCTTAAAAGCAACATAATTAACCTGGGACCAGGCACACGGACAGTTGTCTGTCTGAACCCAAAGCTGCTTGCATCGAATCCAGGCTGAAGTTAAAGGCTTCCCCAAGTTTTAACTATTGACCTGATGGAGGGTGTCTATTAAAGCTGATTTCCCTCAGTCTCTGGTACTTCAGATACCCACAGGATAACTCCTTTTCTTAAATATGTTTATTTTTTACCTCTGCACATGATTTTCCTGGGAATAATAAGAGAGCAAACCCAAAAAGATTTATGGCACCAAGGCGACAGCATTATTTTTGAAGCCACTGTGCATTTTAAATAGTCTCAGACACACAAACAAGAGCAAGTGACGTTATGACGATTTAACAACTCCTAATAGATAAATACACGGGAGAATATAATTAAAGACATTATCGATAATGCATAGGCACAAGAAGGATGTATTAAGAATAAGTGATCAATGCTGGGATGGCTCAATATTCCCGGAGGTTTCCCCATGTGAGATTAAATAAGAGTAAAGCTTATTTCTTGTGCAGGATTGATGGATCAATAATAAAGAAAGCTAAAGTCAAAGGAAAAGATTTTTGCTTGTCATTGCCTCCACCAAGCATCTGAGATCAAGTGGGAAAATACATGAAAAAATGGGATTTCTCCCCTCCCCATGCCAGCTGAGCAGGTATTAATGATGGCTCGTTGAGCTGGGAAAGCACTTTGGGGTCTTTCCAGAAGAAAAATGCTGAACAAATGGCAGGTGATACGTATTTTGGTTAGAAAATCCCCGCTGCCAACTTGCTCCTTTCAAATGTTTAATTTCAAGGCATAACAAGTCTGCGTCTGGTTCTTGCTGCTCCTTCAGACTCTCCCATGCAAAGTTACTGCGAGCATCCGACTGACTGATCCCTTCCCAAGCATTTCCAGGGATAAAAAATAAAAGGAGGATCTGGATGTTTAAAGCAACTTACCTTCAGCACTTGGGCAAGCTTTGGAGTCTGTTTTCTGGAGGCGATAGCAGCCAGTTAAGATAGGGATGGGCTGGAGGGATACGAACCAGGGGGGATTAAAAAATCTAAATAATCATAAAACTACAGCTTGTACAAACACTGTAAAAAACCCCCTGGGGCTGACTAATGGGATAAGTCAGGTAAAGCAATAAAACTCCCCCAACTTATTTTTCACTTGGATATCTGCAGTAGTTGGGTACCAGACAGCTGACAAAAGTAACATGGAGATGCTGAATTCTGCCCTTTTAAATTTTGGCTCCACCTGAGATGTTTCTTCACCTTGGCTGGGCTTCAGCATCCCTTCCCCATCCTCGTTTTGATTCAGCCTGCGATGGGAACTCAACCTTCACCCGCAGCATCTCTTTACCAAGCGATGCAAGCACGGCGCCAACCGCCCGCACCAGCCCGGCGTCAGAGGAGCCACTGAAGGGAGAAGCAGAGAGATGGTCACAACTCTTTAAAGATGCAAATTGAGAAGCAGCCATCATAACAAGAGAGCTCTGTTAATTCTCTTACATGTATGCAGATTTTGATGCTGACTTTTCCTAGGCTTATTTGTTTTATTCAGCAATAAATTTAATACCTGCTCCCTGAAGCAAAGAGACAGATGGACT